TTTTTTTTCCAAATCATGGAAATTTTCGTTCAGGACACACGAAAAGGAAAAACATTATTTAGGCCCATTTAAATAATCTCTAGGGAGAGATTGGCTTTAGAAGCTTTAGGCCCAATATAATCCTCTGCAAACATGAGTGGGACTCCAATTCCTGCGAAATATCAGTCTAGCAACAGACACATAAAACACGTTATGCCTTTAAAGTCACAAACTTCTCAACCCTTCTGGAAGCTTATGCAACAGATAGAAGCCATATGATTTCAACTTCAAACTTAAGACTTTCAATACTTAACCTTCTAGGACTCTAAAATCCTTTCTCAATTAAAACTCAAACTCTGTTCTTCACGTAGCTTCTGAACGCAATTATAAAAAGGCCCAGACATCTTGTCTTTCTTACCGTACGACGAGCAGGTACCTCGGCTTTCTTTCCTTTTTTTTTTTCTTTCTTTCTGTGTTTTCTGCTACTTATTGCTATGGGATATTGCTGCTTTCTTAATTTTAATTTGGTGCACTTTATGAACAACACTATAAAATTTTAACTCTTAAAGATCATGCCTTTTACATGCTTGATTAATTGTGCCAATGAAATTTCCAAAATCAGTTTGCAGCAACCCCCCCTTTTTTTTTTTATTCTCCTGCCATATGCAATCTGCGAGAGGTTATCCAGGCCTAGGTAAGTTGCTATAGTGGACGACATGAGTTGCAGTCCGCGACGGCTTTTCGGCATTAAACGGAGTTATCCTTGCGCTGTTCGGGCTGAAGCGAATCTGTTCAGGAGCTGTATGGGCTGAAACAGGTCGGTTCGGGAGCTGTTCGGACGTTTATCGGGCTAAAACGGAGCGGTTCGGGGCTGCTTGGACGTTTACCAGGCTGAAACGGAGAGGTTCGGGGCTGTTTGGATGTTTACCGGGCTTCCTTTATTTATGAAGATGATTAATTTATTTTTCTTTACATATTGTAGGTACTCATCCAACTTCCGAAACATCCGAAGCTCAACTATGGTGTGTTTTAAGGACCTTTCATCCCCTTGCGGCATCCAATACTTGAAGATACTTGATGATGAGCACCGTTCCATAGATGAA